ACTGTTAGCCTGCTGTAGCTGATGGATTTCGGCCCAAATATTCGTATCAACTTCCGGACTTGGAGTATTAAGCGTTATTCCGGCTGATTTATTCCAAGTTATTAATTAATTTCTGAGAAAATTAAAAGTTGCAATTTCAAAATTGGAGTATCTACCATAAAGCCTACGAGGAACGCCAAGGGGCCCACTAATGAGTCGTACCCATCTCAGCTGTGTCATGCAGCGGCAGAATGTCGACGAAATACGCATCTGCGCTTTTAGCTAGCATCTGTACTGGCACCATGGAAAATCATGCAGCATGTCTACCAGGATATTTTTATTGCCAGCTGCTATTACTGATGTGCTGGCAGATGAACTTCTATCAGGAGAGTTAAATTTACGAACATGCACTTTGAGTGTTCTTTCGGAGGTAAAAATCCAATCTCAGCGTCAAGTTAAGAGGCGTCTGACGATAGCAAAGGCATTTGTGCGTCTAACCCGAGGACTGTGGGCCGTTGATGGCTATGATTGCAATGGGTCATGGGATTGCAAAGTTCATGCACAAGTCATCGTCATGCTATAGGCCCTTAACAGGGGCTAGCGAATTTTCTTGGCGATTTTCAAGACTACTACGAACAGCTTCACTCTCGCCCGTTGTGGTTGTGTCGGGTGCTGATTTTTTTTATCCAGCTTAACTAGGTTACGGACAGAAGATATGGGACAGGTGTGGCGCTTCTGTGAAACTTAACCAAGGTTGCGGAACACTTCGTTACCTAGAATACATTTCCCTAGACCTGTTGCTTTGGATAGTTCGTAACAATAATTAATTTCGAAAATTAAACAGTTTATTTGAATGACTACTCCGAAAGAGCTCTAGGGGACACTTTTAATTTAAGAGTTTACCTTGATACCACGTGGAGCCCTGGTCGAGTAAAACATGTTAAGAAAACCCTTTAAGAACTGCTGCCAACTTGTATGCTAGACGGGTAACCCCTCTGGTTTCTGTGGCGCTTCACCTTGGACCTGTGTTCTCTAAGGGACTGAAAAATCAAATTCCAATTCCCTTCACAAATAGTTTTTTCGTTTTCTTTGGGGCGTGATATGGATCTATTTAAAGTAATCGAATATACGGCACGACGTTCATTGGCAGATTTTATTTAATGCGTCGGATCCCTACGCGTTCTTGGAACGCCAGAAGAGGTGACAGTACAAAGTCTGTTCATCGACGGCTTTAAGGCACGCATACGCCTACCGTCAGCACGCGCACACACACAGGACCTAGGTGTAAATATGTGCATTCCAGGTCGACCCGCCTGCTGCGTCACTGTCCAGTCATGGGGGGGACGGGAGTAAATTCTGATGTTTTGTAACTCAGAGCGTCGGTGTGCTGAGATTAGACTACTGCAATATTGTCTTTCGGGGACAGTGTGAGCAAACATGATTTGCATAAGGCTGTGCTGTGTACGTGCATGTATGTGCGTCTGTGCGCTGGCAACTGACGATCAGAGCTTGTGTCCCCAGCTGTAGAGGTGCATTGTGCGCCTGAGTGGACTATGCTGGGTACTTTGTGCGCCACTGCAACCAGCCTACGTCTTCTCCACTGCGGTCCTTGCCTTCTATTCGTCTTGTGGTCCTTCCTCCGGTCTAAAAACGTCCTTGATGATTATCTGCACCAGACTGTCTAAGGGAAATCCGACTGAAGCCGACAAATAAGCCGGCAAGGGCCGCTCCTCTATTCCTAGTCATTTTCGGTAGCACAAATTGGACTTATAAAGACTTGAAGGAGGCCTGAGAATTTCAAGTCTTCGCTCTGTCCTCTCACAGCAGACTGGACCTTTGGCATTGACACCTCAATGCAGACATCTATGGTGGCAAAGAATCAGAAACGTATTTGGCCTTTGGAATGCTGCTGACCACCTTCCCATGCATGAAAGTGGACAAGTTCGGGGTCATTAAAACTTCTTATTCCAAAAGTGCAAAATTTCTGCACTGAGGATTTGCCAGGCCGCAATAAGCCTAGAAAGTGTGAAGGCCACCTCACCCTACCCTTCGAATGTGTGCATCATGACATACACACGACGGTCTGACCGAACGATGATGTCCACCATGTGCCTTACGGCATGGTGGGTGCAGGGACGAGGACTTGCGCGTGAAATGAGAGGGCGTACGTGGGAACAGGGTTTCGTCCATAATCGATCCTTACAATGGTAGCGCTAGGTTTATCACGTGGTCCAACTGCTTACAGAGTTCGGGTTTTCTCCTCCGTATTGCAGCGGCCTCTGCAAAGCTCAAGAGACACTTGGTCGTCGCCCGAAACAGGACCTTGAATGCAACCATTGGGTCCACCGTATGGCCCGTGTCCACTAGGTGCTTTGTGATTGAGCTCCCGGGTACCTTATTTTCCGCCTTAAGCAGCCACTTCGGCATGTGTTCAACTGACTGAGCTGCCAACTGCCTTTGCGTGCGCCCAATGTACTTGCATCCGCAACTACATGTAAACTGATAAATACAGTTTGATGTGACGTGCATAGGCAAAATGTCTTTAGCTGGTCTAACTGGGATGGCTGCATGCTTTGTCGCCTTTGCCTTGTTCAAACCAGGGTTTGACCAAAACAACGCTGTGACGGCTCGGATCCCAACTAAGTAGGTGTGCAAAAAGGCCATATTGGGAAGGAGCCATGGTAGACGGATGCCCTATCGTATGAGGACCGAGTTAGACATTTAGTGGAAAGTCCTTCAAGCCGTGGCCGATAACTGACCTTGGTAATTTAGAAGGGCATCAAATTGATTATGTTGAGTGATATGCTCTGGGTGCCGTGGAGACGCAGCCTTCACAATCTACCTCATTCTCTCTTCCCAATCCTGTGCATCAGTCGGTTTTCTGAGCTGGTCGGGTTGATCCATGCGGTGACTGGATTTACGTGGACAGTGTGGGCGGTGGAGGTGTAGGCAGCTGGCGTATATTGGTGTTCTTGACACTGTTTGACAGCCTGCATGTCCCCTCCCAAATGGGTCACGCGGTAGATGCGCTGGACCAACAGGGGGGGGGGTCATATCGGATCCTGGCAGGCGTTATCGGACTGCGCACTATAACAAATGCCAACATTTCGGGGTGCAGTGGGAGACCCAGTCACTGGCAGTGGTCGCGCACACTGGGAGCCCTGCCACCCCCACTTTTTATTGCTGGTTCGAATCCTGGTCATTTGCTGTGTGGACCAGGAGATGCGGAGTGGAGCGCCAAGGTGTGGACTCGACCGTACCATCCACCTGTGACTTCACCCGCCTCCGGTCTTCTTAACTCTGTCTTGACACCGGGTCCAGGTGGGAGGGTGCGGTAGACGCTGTGTAAATCCACCACCACTATAAACTAAATCATGCACAAGTCACCGTCCTTGCTCTCACCTTGCTGCGGAGCGCACCGTGAACATCGTCGGAAACGACAGTCGAACTGCCGTTTGCCCGTCTGTGCGCGATGAATTCGCAAGTGGCTGCCCAGGCTGAAGTGTGATGTACGTTTACAGGGGCAAGGTGGGCAGGACAGGCTGGGAGCCCCTGAGTCGGTTGCAGTGATGATGCTGTTAGTGTTGGCCGCGCTGGTGGATGATGAGTTGGCAGTACTGGAGATGGGAGGGTTGTTGGATGTTCGTGGTTGGTTTGACATGTTGACGACGGTCATTTCATGCTCATTCTGTCCTCTTCAGTTATTCAAGCTTCTAATTTGGGGGTGGGCGCCCATTCGCCCTGCGAAATGAAGCAGGCCAGTACACATCTATTCCTGCTTCCGTAAATATAAAATCAGCACTTACATACAAGGAGTTTGCGTAGCAGCTTAATATAATTAATTTAACAATTAATGGCTACCCGTGGCAGATTGGAAAGGAGAAACAACTTCGAAAATGAGTACGTCGATGCCGGGGCATTTCGATTTAAACAAACTCCACACCTCATTTGTGAACGCTTAAACGTTGACTTGTCACCTGTTTAGAATACGAGACCAACCTAATAGGAAAGATCTGGAAGGGTAGGCTGCCGTTAAAATTTCTTCCACTATTATTTTTGCGGGGACCTCTGACCACTCCAAAGTAGTGGGATTAAAAGCCTCCTGATTTGAGATCTGTAATGGTAACATCTACAGGATTTTTCTCACCATCATTCCTACACAAGGCTGTGATTTAAGTCATATTCGCTAACATCGTCTCTCCTGACTTAGCCTCTGTCGAATGCAAAGATAATAAGAGAAAGGTTGGACGCGAGCCGTTTTAATTTCAGAGAGGTAAAAATTAACACGTGGCTTGAAAGTCAAGGATACGAGGTTTTACTGCTTGGTAGGATGTTGAGGGGCAAAAATAGTGCTTACTGATAGGATGGCAGGCGAGTTAGAATAAAAAGCTAAACGCACATGGCTGTCAGCTCCTCACTTCCTTGCCTAGGTTTCGCAAATCCATTTGGGGAGCGATTTTCTAATGCAAAGACAAGCTGACTTTGGGAGTCCAGCTGGAAGTCATGCCACAGTGGTTTACTTTAACAGACGTTTCACTGTTAATGGCAAAGATATATTGCTTTAGAGCTTTAAGATATGGATATGAACGAATTCTGAGAAAATAAAGGTCTAAACACTTCACAATTGGGCACATGCATACGCCGAACTAGCTATACTCTCTTCCGTCATAAGTTTATCTACTTGTTGACATTCCCGGCTGTCCCTATTACGCAGACTTCCCCCCCCCGTTTCATCCCCATGGAAATGATGCTTTTTCATTAATTTTAAAATCCTCCTTATAATCTGTTCCTCCGGGACACTTTAAAATGTGGCTTGATTGACCGGTGTTCATGACTACTACCAATAACGGACGTCTTCGGTGTTCTCGTTATCATTATTTTTCCTGCAGACAGAGTGAGAGTTTGAAGCTTTGACCTTACAAAGTTAACTGATAAGACGCTGGTGCCTCCTCTTCCTTTGCGATGAACACTGTTTTTATTTTGCCTTTCAAGGGACACTGCTCGCTCCAACTGGAGTAGCGATGGGTGCCGCTCTCTTCCTGCAACACAGTGACTGCTGCATTTTTCGCCTGGGAACTCTCGCCAGTCTCGATTTTGATGAAGCTGATGGCAGTTTCTCCCTGGAAGATCTTCAAGCACTCTTTAAGGACACCTCGGAGGCGTACCGTCTGCATATCCTGAGGGATGTACAAATTCGACTTCCCATGTCTCCAGTGTCCGAGGAGAATATGATTTCCGAACCGCGCCGTCAGTTAGCCTCAAGTAGGGAGGATAAGAATCGGAAGCTTTTGGTGAAAGTGTTTAAGCCGCTCCTTTACAGTCATGATGGCAGGTAAGGACCGTTCGGTGACCTTGGGGGGAGGAAAAACTTCCGTGCTCTATTTATCACTATTTTTGGCGGATGTTTTCGGAGAATTTTGCTGTACAAACAACAGTTCTTGTGTCTTATAATGCACTTCACTAGACCGTGGACGTGGATTTTGCCCAGCCATTATTTTATCACCCCTGAGAACCTCAAGTTTCAGATTAACTACCTGATATTTTTCTCCTGGTAAAGTTACCACGCCAAGCATCACTGTATTATAACCGAGCTAGGCCTGCACTTAAAGAAATACTTAATTTTACTAATGTCCCAACTAGTCTGAATGATCGGCACGTAGGGGAATTTACAGCTGGACGAATGCCATAGACTGGTACGCTATGGCTCGAAGATTGGCATTTTTTGCATTTGCTCGAAGATCTAGCAATTACGCCATCATCTCTATGTCACATAATGCCTCCACGACCTCTGACTTTAAAAGACTTGCTTTGAAGTGCCTGATCGACCGCAAAGAAAATTTTTCAGATCTCATTTAACGGGTTTGGAAATCTTACAAGAATCCCATTTACTTACGTTTAAGCTGAGGAATAGTAGGTTGAGTCCTTTTGCACATTATGGCCAATGGCGGATTAATCTGAGGATGTTTGCGTGATTTTCTTATCTTAGAGAACTTCGATACTTTTTGTGTTTGACGAAATATTAACTATCATTGGTCAAAGTTAACTTACCTATGCTGTTCTACCAGAGAGGTTTTTGAAGCTGCCCTTAGTAACAGGTGGTTGTGATCCGCTCAATGTGTTAGATGCTAATTGGTGATGTTAAATGACTTTAATTAGGCGACAAAGCCGCAAAGCCAAGCTTAGGCCGATCTGATTTACCAGTCTATCTGCAGCCTGTGGTGATTATGAATACCCTTTCTGTATGCACGCGCGGTGTGGATTTTTTTATTCCCGTATATGAATTGTACGCGTGTGAATATCCGATGTTTCTTTTTAGCCTCGCCTCCATTTCCCTCTCAACAACACAGCAAATACCAACGGAAGTTGTCATCATTCGACAAACACAGGCGGGAATTCTGATTGTGCACTTTGGCTCCAACGTTTCTGCAGGCAATGCCATTCAAATTGTCGAGAAATTCACGCTTAAGTTGTCACATCAAATCAGATAGGGCAACAGAACAACAGCATTTGAAGTTTCTATCGTCAGTTGCATTTACTTCTTGTTTAGCCACCCATTTTTTTCCTTTTGTCAGATAACCGTCTCAAAGCATCCGTATAAAAAGCTGCGTATAGTTTCTGATTTCTGATTTTCGTTTGCAGTGTCAATCGCCGACTCCAGAGATAGCACATACTTGAAGCATTTTAACTACCAGGGAAGGCTGAAGCGACAGTTTTTACCTTATATTTCGTCCCCAGTCGGGTATAGCCCGAGCCACGGTTGGGAATACCAATGTCTGAATTCACATTTGGTTGGTAATTGAGTCGTAGGTTCTGTTAGCTTAATCAAGGACTCACGAATCGCCGGTTGTGATCTCATAATCCATGTAAGATTTGCGTTGACCCATCTAGCCCGACTTTAGAAAGAAATATGGACATTTTTAGCGGAAGACTGCACCGTAAAGAGCAGTCAGTAGACTGGAATATTTTTAAGAATATGGAACCTGGAATGATCATTTCGACCCACTTGCTGTCAGCAGGCAACTATACGGCAATCCCAGACCTGGAAAACCCGAGAGTAGAGTCCGTTTGCAGTTTGTCCTTAAGAAGGTCGATTGCAACACCGAGAAGGCGACTGTTGAGGCGGTAGTGATCTGCTTTCCTGACGCAGGTTTCTGCCGAAAGCCTAAACTGTGCTGCTCATCATTGGCAGCTGGTTTAAAAATTGAGGAACCGTTTGGCTGGGTGCGGATTTCAGGCCATCAGCATTATTGGGGAACTTGTTGCTGTAATTCCTATCGCACACGCAGACTACACGGTTAGATATTCATCTAGCGTTTTTAGTGGCCAGATTTCTTTATAAGGACATGCAGATATAAAAGAACCAAGACACGCCCGAAAACTGCCGGCCCTTATTGCCTACGTAAACCAAATTGAACTGCGCCCTGTAACAGGGTAAATAGGGCGAAAATAAGAATGACTCCAAGCTATGCTATGACTATAAAAGAAACAGGCCAGCCTCCATTGGCCTCCACGTCTATTTGCTGAAGTTCCTACTACTAAAATGTCTACTGCTAATCGATGACTCTGTTAAACAACCGTCTGGGCCAGGGGCCGCTCTCTTGCTCAGAGCTAAGTAGATAAGAATTAGAAAGGTGAAAATGCGCGTTAATCGAATGAGATGACTTGGAAAGGTGTACGTAGGTCGGCATTCTCAGGTAGGTAATGAGGCTTTGATAGTGCAAAAACTGTCTAAGATATCACCCCAAAGTGTGTTAAAATTGCGACGAATTGTGCACGTAACTCCAATTAAGTTGCATAAGACGCTAAACATGATTTGCACTAAAGTCGTTTTCACGACCACTTTCCGGAAGTTCAGCGCGTCGTGATCATTGAGGGGAAAAAATACTTGTTTTTTTTATGTAGAAGATAGATGGATGAGCTCCCACCGCAGCAAATCATCGGAATTGTACAACTGCACATAGAGCTAATTTGCGAGGCGTGGGTGGTGGCAGGTGAATTAACTTGTTACTCAGGTTTGGAGCGGGGAAGGTGTGACAAAATAGCAATAAAGCATTTTGCAGGCAACAGCTCGACGGGAGAAACAAACGTCGATAACGGGCTCGGTGGGGTTCAGGATAATAAGGGGCCGGGCTAGGAGAAAGAGAGAGAGAAAATGAGGTGCGGGCAAGAATCGCTGGAGTCTAATCGTCGCGAACGAGTAACCATGCGAGCATTTGGCCAGACTAGACAATGAGCCTGTGTCGGTACGTTTCTGACCCGTATTTGATTATTAGTTGTTCATGGGAATGTTACTAACCGGAATAGCGACAAGACGAACAGCGAGAATGGGGAGCTGAGAGGATGAACAGAGGACACAGGTGGAGAAGCTTCCAGGGCGACACTGTGTTAAAACCTCAGGGGCATAGACGAGTGACTGGGAGACCAACGTGAGCTACCTAGTTACATTCATACCGTCAGGCCTTCTTGCACATCGTACTAGGGATGGGCGCATATCCATCTATTAGCTTTCCGAAGCAAATAAGCCCCCGTATGGGTTGGAAAAGTCAAGACCAAGCAGCCAACTGCCAGGCCGAATTTGACTAAGTTATGATAGCAGAGGGGAGAGACGACGACAAGGAATGCGGGTAGATTGATGCAGAAAGGTTTCGGGCTCATTCTGTCTTTGTTCAGCCAAATATAAACCTGACCGCCGGCTGTGACCAGAAACACAAACATGCCAATGGGGCGGCGTGTGCCATTTCTGATTGACTAAATACCGACCTGCTACAACAAAATAACAGGTGTCGAGGCACTGAGGAACTTCGGCACGATGAAGGGCTTAATAGCCACATGTTAGACATCGTCTATGGATCATCTGCGCCCTGTGAGAGCGCACGTTTGTGTTTTGTGGTCACAGATGGGGTCAGGTTTATTATTGGTTGAATGAGGCCTGAATAAGCCCAACATAATTCCGCATCAAACTATGCGCATTCTCCACCGTCTCCCCCCTCCAAATTCCGTATTCCTTAGTGTGATCTAGTAAAACTTTGGGCAACAGTATGTTGAGGGACTCAAATAAGCTGTAGGTAGTCTGTGAGTCCTGTCATAGTTTCCATGATCTCAGCTCAGGGAGTTGAGAAGCGATTGCACTATTTGGCTCTCATTATATACCGGGTGCTGCAAGCTTTGTTCGCTCTTGATGACTTTTTTATTTTTTCACAAATAAGAGGAGCTTTTTCTATTTAACAATAATGCAACACCGCACAGCCACTTATCACAGGCCAGAGGTCGTTCGTCAGCACCTTCTTGCGTTGGACCTTGCGTTTTGGGCATTCACATGCTTGCACTTACATGCTTGAGTATGGTGCCAGACCACACAGTACCGACCTCTTACGGATATTAACCAAACTAGCAGCTAACCACCTCACAGGCAATCCGACAGGACCTCTTCTTGGTATCCGTTTGCAGGCCGATGCAGACATTAAACTATAAATAACAAATAATTCCCATGATCTTAGTTCAGAGGGTCGAGAAGCGATCATTGCCGGTGTGATGCGCTACCCGTAAAACCCCCATTGCCACCGATCGCGTGCGAGAGGGTCTACAGGCCGTCGACAACTAACTGGGGTCCTCCAGTCTACCGTTGCCAAACCTTGGTGCTCGAAGCCCTCTCTTAGATAGTGTTACTGTAGGGTTCCTTTCCCGAGAGAATTAGTTTTTTGAATAGTTCTTTCCTTTATTGTATTCCCACTTGATCAGTTTAGTGGATTTTAAAATTCATAAAGACTTTAAAACAGTAAAGCAAGATCCCACCATTTATCACAGTTTATGAGTGATGGGTGGGCTTATTTTCTGTTAGTGATTTAAATGTACTGCACGAACGAGTTCTCATCAAATTCCTACATTACCCAGACTTCTCAGTGGCTTTTATTCTGACTGTTTTTCTCTCAAGTTACTATACCAGAAACAGCTTGCCTGGAAGGCGTTGGAAGTAATTCAGTTCATTTTGCAGCCTTCTTTCTACTTTTAAATCCCACATAAATCCTTCTGGAGGCCAAGTTGATGCGTCGGTGAATCTTCTGAACCCAATCACCCTCATTTCCTAACCATCATTTTGTTTTCCTGATTTTGGGACAAGCAGGCCTCTTTGAAATCCACCATCGCTGAACGACTGCGCACACATTTGGTGTTTGTCTGAAGAACTTCTTCCCTCCCGAAGCTTCGGTGACCTATCATTGCATTTTGCTCATCAAATCTAATACACCGGCGATTTCCAGCAAAGCCACTAAGATCAAATTTTTTGGGGACAGTTGTTCATCTCGGCTGCAACACAGGATAATCCGAAAATGGCATCCCAGTTGTTTCTGGTGTTCGATGGCCTGGTCGCCTGCACAGTGTGCATGCGAAACGGGGTCACACGTGTTTGCTGTGATAAGCACTAGTTGATAGGATGCCTTTTTTCGGATGCCATTAAAGCACAGCCTCAATTCAATAGACATTGGAGCATTTCGGCCAGACCTACTGGGCTGACAAATGGAAAAATGAGGTTGTAATACGGACTGAGCGAACGTCCGAAGGGAATCACACAGTTTCTGTAGCAGCCTTAGTAACATTGTTTACCTTTCTCTCCAAAAAAACTAAGAACAGGCATACATAATCTTTATGCTTTAGTCACTAGCATCAACCTACTTCTACACTTCAAACGTATGGTCTCATACGGAAACAGACACCTGTCTCACTTCACCCCTGGTCAGGAGAGGCTGTATGAGGCTTAAAAATTCATTTGCTAAGCATGAATTTCGCACATACCAATGCAAATCTGTTTGAAGTCGGAAGCCGCAGTTAGGAGACCTGAAAGTTAGCTTATAATATATATGTATATATTTAAATGGCAGTTTGGCCGGAATGACTATCTGGACGCATCGCACATGCATGCCGATGAGAAATGTTCCCATATAGGTAACTCAGTTCTACGTTGCTTTTTGTCGAAACCCCGCTCTCCCAAGAGCAATTTTGGTCATCGAGATGCCTCTTTTGACTGGATGTCTTCTCAGTGTCCTTCTGTGCATCTGACTAGTGACTTTATGTCCTATTTTCGTTCGCCTATTGAACGGTAAATACCCTGTAGCCTTCGTCGACATGAGACTGCGTCAATTCCCCTCCTCATTGCACGGCGTCGGGGGAATTTATACTTTTTCGATTGGAGAAAATTCGCTTAACAAGGGATTTGAAAGTGGTTTCAAAAAAGTCAAAGGTAAAATGTCATGTGGATCCTTGTATGCACTAAACTCTAAGTTGGAGAAAAATATGTTCTATGAATCAAGACCCGTCAAACAGTGGTTAATATATATCATCTTCAAGAAAAGATGCGTTCCAGAAAACAGGCCTAACTAAGTCAATTTAATAAGAAAATTGGAGCGATCTGGTGAGTTATGCGTTAGGTTTACCAAGGGCATGTTCCTCTTGCTCGTACGTGCAAAGCGTACTTTCAATATGTTTTTGCGAAGTA